AGTGTTGATAACAGAAAATGTTTTTGTACGTTTAGCAGCTGCTTCCAAGACTTCCATACTCTTGTCGTTGCATGTTAATGATAAAAGACTCACGACAATATACTACATAGTTTGTCCAAACGGTGGCCTTTTCATTTTGTAATCTTATGGATAATAATTCGTTTTTCTTCAATATGAAAGACACATGATATGAATTATATTTAAGGAAGTACAGTTATTACCAATGAATTTATTTATGGGGAAAAATAATAAGGGACATGATGATTTTATGATAATGGCAAAGGTAATGTTAACGCCAACAATAATAGTAATAAGGATGATGTTAATCAACGCACTCTTGTAGACATAATTACAAAAAGCAGCTGAGTGGGGCCGGGGGGGGGGGGAGTAACGCCATTCGCTAATAAACGAATACAACGTTGACTAACTCTTAAATTTCACATATTTTTCTTTCCAGGCAGACGCCAATTTAAAAGCCCCACTCACCCCCCCCCCCCCTTTCACGTCTACGCCTTTTCTTTATCTCACAAGAATCTAAATATTATAAGGAAAGAGAAGTAGAGATAGATAGGAAGATAAGGAGAAGCAAAACTTGGTTTATGACAAAATATAACGGAAAAGAGTAAGACAGTGACACGGATGACGGCTGATAGATGCGAGAATGGTAATGATAAGCATAAAGAAATAAAGCGCTGGGTTACAAGACGTAAGCACAAGTAACAAATTACATAATGAGTGCGACATGACGCAAGTAACATAATAGAGAAAGGAACATAACAGACAACACAATGTGACACTGTATAGGGAGTGATGTGGTGGAAAGAGACATGCCTCGAGGAAAGGTATATTTCACAGAAAGGGGCACGTGTTGCCGCAAATTGGATGCAGGAAAATTAGATGTCTCGAGATTGGAATGGATGAGAAGAAGACGACTTCACACTGAAGGTAAGGTTCACTAACCGAGGCCCGGAAGAGCAAGGAAGACGGCAGCAGCAATGCCTTTGTTGACCTCCATGCCGGCTGTCAAGGTCAAGGCCAGGAAGGTCGGAGCCAAAGGCAGACAAACCTTGCCTTGGTTATAAAGAGAATCGTAAACTCAGTCGCTCTGAGCACCCTGGTTCCCTCAGCAATCGTGCGGTTGACAGCACCCCGCACTCTTCTCCTCTCTCACGGGCGACCGGCGGGCTTGCGGAGACCGCCAGCGCGAAAGGACAACTCTTTCGCGACCGAAGCACGAATCCGAGCCTGTATCTTGCGCGGATATCCTGCGCCTCTGGGTCGTGCGCGTGACATTTCTCGTTTCTGCCGTTGCTCGTTGCGATGGCGGCCGAACAGGGCCCTGGCCCTCGGCGTCCCAATGCTTTCGGTTCGTGTGCAATGCGAGGCAGAAAGAAGGGGAAAATTCGCACTTGGATATTTATTGCAATACTTTGATGCTATATTCTTACAGCTCTCGGGTCATGGTTGTTGTGAAGAGGTGTATATTTTCCTTGCTGGAGTACGCGAGTATTCATCAAAATCTAACTAGAGGTCGTCTTGTTATAATACACGCACACACATGTATTTTACATACACACATAATGCATAAGGGACATAAAGATAAAGAGAAAGAGAGAGTCTGTCTGTCCATCTCTGTTTCAGACAGATTGATACTGAAGGAAAGAAAAAGTAGGTTTTTTTTTATAAAATGGATATATATTTTTTTTTTTTTTTTTTTATCCGGGCTTCTACGAGTAAATGTGATATAAAACTTTTAAACGTCATAAAAGAAATATCTGTGTACTGATGACTTGTTGAATAAAATTGACTGAATAACGAAGATTGCAAGAAGAATAGTTAGTGAAATAACGGTGTCTTTTAGATGTCTTCACCAGAAACAAGATTTTGCTGTATTTACTGAAAAAATGATATTTAAATAAGTGATACTTTTCTAGGAATACAGCTACGATGCGAAATACAATGATAAGAAATATCAGAGAAAAGGGTATTGGAAAAATTATAGATATTCTAACATTGATAATATTGAAAGTGACAGATATATAATACTAGTGATGATGGTAATGATAATGAGAGTGATTATTAATGATGTTGATGATTACAAGAATGATAATGATGTAGAAGAATGAATGAGACCGAACCTCTTCACAAAATATGTCTTGTATTACGAAGATATTATTCATTCTCATTCATACCTTTTCGACACTTGACAACGTGAATGCGGTTCATTGATAATGATGGTAATAGTGATAAGAGTAATACTGTGAATGATGATGGCAATAATAATAGTAATAATTACTACAGTAATATAATGGCAATAAAAATCGTAATGATGCCGATAACCTAACATTAACAGTATAAATAGCGGTGATAACATTAATACTATTGAAAACGGTAATGATACTGTGACTATTTGAATAATCTTACTCTTACTTTTCTGTTAAAGCATTTCGTTTCATAAGCCTTTCTTACCATATTCTGAAGACTGACAACCGAAATTCAATAGTGCAATAACAATAACACTTCTTAGAACATTCGCGGAAATGTCTACCTTGCAATATTATTATTGTTAACCATCAGGCATCACCTGGAATTCATGAGGATATAAAGATTGGTTATGATGTATTTACGCAGTTTTAACCAAAAACAGATAATATTAAGTTAAATGACAATAGATGAACTGCACGGAAAGACGCGAGTCCACGGCCAGACAGCCTGACCATCGCTAGGAAAGGGGGGGGGGGGGAGAGGGTGATCTGGATTCGCTGGACGAAGCAGGAGTGAGTGTTCTGCCGTCTCAGTCCCATCCTAAGGCCGCGTACGCACGTGTTGCATTTCCACGTGTAGTATCCTCGTCGCGTAGCAGTCTGGACGGGATAGCGGTGCACCGTTGCGTGTGAAAATATGATACAAACTTACGCAACGGGCTCCATCCGCCATTTGTCGGTCTTTTGCCGTCACGTCAAAGATGAATGCACAACTCACCAACCCTCGCGTGGACGGGGAGCGTGGCATCGTCCCACTGCACGTTCAGTCTTCTTAGCCAACATAGTTGTTCCACATCACCCAACTTGCACAGAGTTCAGGCACCTACCAACGCCGTGGCTTCTTCTTCTTCTTCTTTTACGGATTTAATGTTCATGAATAAAAATATACGCGGCCGACGCCAACTGCACATTTGCACTCATGGCTCCTGTCAGGAGGAAACTGAACGATGCTGTTGCACCACGGAACGATGGTACAACACGCGGATACGCAACAAGTGGGTACAATACCCTGTTACACCGTATCGTATCTCTGGGTGATCTACAGCGATGATACGATACGTGGAAATGCAACGTGTGTACCACCTTAATAGGTATTAACAAACAAACAATGTATACATAATAATATATTAATACACACGTAATATAAATATATATATATATATAAATATATATATATATATTATATATATATATATATATATATATATAATATAATATATATATATATATATAAATACGTATATATGCACATATAAATAAACCTTGTATACATATACATACATACATACATATTCATATGTGTGTGTATGTATATATATTATGTACACACACACAGATGGTATTATTGAAAATTTCCCTGGTATTATTGGAAATGCAACCCCACACCTAATTTAAGAATCTGAGCTTACCATGTGGTAGAACACATCATTCTATAAAAGTTTACTTCTATATCATTTTCTGCGCAAATTGATAATAACGGTGTTATAGATGGTATAAAATCCACGATTTCCAGGAGCCGCAGGAACCTTCCCTCCAACGCCGCCAAAATGACAAAAAGTCGTTAAGAGCGACGGGAAATCGGACGGATTTGTAGCGGATGACATATGCGAGGGAAATCAAATGAGCCAATTAGATTCGTGCGTGAACGTGACGTGAGCAGAGACACTCAATAGAACCAATCAGGTAAGGAATAGATCATCACGTGACAATAGAAGCTGGGCCTAGAAGCCGTTTGAAATTCAAATCAGTTCCAATGTGGCTAAACAGTGTGTACGTTGTGAGAACAATTATTTCTATTTCTCCGCACTGTAAGATATCGTGTCATTACAGAAATGACAGACACCAGTGAGTTCGTGGTGCATGGAAAAGGATTAAAAAAACAAAACGAAGAAGCAGTGTAAGCAAACGCAATTCCTGCGAACAACGACCTGGAATACCCCGACGATCCCAGTGACCCGTAGCTGGGTCTGGGCTCTCTCCTGCCGGAACATGCGAGGGGAATATTTTGCACATCAGGGAGGGTGGAGGGAGGGACGGCACCCCCCTCCCCCCCCTCCGAAAGGGGTTGTAAGGGGGCGAAGCCACCTATATCTACTGAAAACGTGTCAGATACCTGGTTTTCCCGGGTTCTATCCTGCCGGAACATACACGGTGAAGATTTTGTAGACCAGGCGCCCCCCCCCCTGAAAAGGGGTTTAAGGAGGCGGAGCCCTCTATACAACCCGGAAATGTTTCAATATACAATGCTAGTAATCTACCAATATTTCTCGAAATTCCTTAATATGCAGACCTATCATACCCTCTCCAGCTATCAGGACCGGTATCGGAGTTATGCTTCGTTTGCTATTAGCGGCGTCTATCAATCAGGTTAGTGCCTTTAAAATTCTAGATTATTGTAGGTTATCGCTCCGCATCTAGTTCGTGCGCTCTATCCTGCCGTGAATACGTGGTGGAAGTTTTTGCCCTCGCGGGGTTGGGGATTTATATATATATTATATATATATATATATATATATATATATATATATATATATTATATATATATATATATATATACACACACACACACACACACACATATACATAGATATTGATATATAATATATATATATTATATACTCACTTAAATACTATATATATAATATTACTATATATATATATATATATATATATATATATATATAGCTATAGTATATGTATTGTGATGTTTATCTGTCTTATATATGATATATATGT